TAATTTCACTAATTTTTTTGTGAGTTGACTCTATCATATAATAGCTGTCTCTATCCCATGAAAATGTAGGGTGGAAATAAGTCCACGTTAGCTTTGATTATCTTTACGCGTACACAGAATTTTGTCAATTTCGACAAAGAATATATTTTTCCGAAAGTTTATATGGCTTTAATTAGGGAGGATTATATTTAGGCTCTCAAGTTTGTCACTTAATTAATAAGACATTTTAATATTTAAAATATTATACACAAACCCTTAAAATTTATACACGTGTAACACTTAAATCCCTATAGTATACCTATTAACAAATTACACTCAAACTTCTTGAAATTATAAGCATGTAATACTTAGATCTTTTAAATTTAAAATGTTATATATAGATAAAAAAATACTCTAATTAAATATAAAATATTAAATATTTTAAATTTTACACACCACATACATGGACTTTTGGTACTTTTATATCGAATAAAATTCAATTTTCAAAGAGCGTGTAATCTAAATGAATAAATTCGGGAAAAACACATTAAAAACAAATTCTTGACTCTACCCATTCCGTAATGATAAGCAAGCAAACAGTGGGACATTAAAGCAAATCAAAAATGCAGCAGAAATAGTCATTTTTAGGTCGTGTTACGATACCAAAAATAAATTTTAAATTAATATATCTCCATTTTCCATCTAATAAAATTTTGATATATGTAATTTTTTAATTAAATCACAATATACAATAAAATAAATAAATGAATTACGAATCGTTTCCTCATCTGCTGTGCTGTCTGGTTACTGTCTTTGCGGGCTTCTTGTCACTACCAAAAACAGCTGTTTTCATTAACATGATTAATTGGTTGACTATGTATGCATTAAGCTAGCCAGCTAATCTCACCACGTAATACATAACCATAAGCAATTGACAAATACCACCACATCCCTACGTTTTCGGATTTAGATCTTCTGATATATATATATATATAGCAATACAATACTGAGTTTTTTGTTCGGTACCATAGAATTCTTTCTCCAAGGTCCAACTATTGTATAGAAATTTGAACTGAACTTATTATTTTTTAAGTGATTTTACATGAGAGAGCAATATGAATCATTGAGTGAAATGCAGTAAAATTGCAATTGAAAATTTTTCAAGTTTCTTGTTTTGTATCTCACCAATTCTCGCTCCCCACGTTAACACTAAAATATGAGAATTAATATTAAGAGTAGCTCAAATGATAATAATGATAAACTATAAACTCAAATGCACTGAATTCAAATCTTGACGATTCTTTTGGATAAGGCCATTAGAGATTTATCTCTTATGAATACATTAATTTCGACATGGATAATCTATTTTTGACTGGATCGATAGGATTAGTCGAGGTGCACATAAACTGACTCATGATTGTTGAACTAAAAAATAAAATAAAATAAAATATGATAATTTACATTGAACTCATTCTGACCGAAACAAGGAGTGGGTTTTTAACTTCAAAATTCTCGATTTTAGAAAAGCCAAAAAACGTGAGCACCTAACGTGAACCTTACTGAAAAAGCCCCTTCTATGCATGATGTCGTGAAGGATCTAGAAGACCAACAATTTTTAATTTTTTATCGCCTGTATAGTCTTTCTCTATCGGATAGAAAAAAGAAGGTTTGGCTTATATAACTGATAAAAAGTTTCGACCATATCTAATATACTTTTTTTTTTCAATCACTTTACTTTCAATTTTCGTAAGTGATTTTCCAATTAAATACGATGTTATTATTTCGATCCACAATAAATGATCTAATATTGAGAGAATTAAAAAAAAATATATACTACAATGAATTAAGATCTATCGACAATTAACGTAAAACTTATCATATCAATAACGATTAAAACAGGAACGATAAAAATTGCAACATCGATTTTGTGCCGGACAAGTGGCACGATTCAAAATTGCTTGGGACCCATAATTCTTTATAGTGTGGGAGGTAAGGGACCCATAAATTTGGGGGCTTATGGGTTACTAATCAAGAAAATAAATTTGAGTACAAGTGTAAGAGCATTATTAAAATATTCAAGTTACTAGAACAAAAAAAATGGCCCACACCCTGCATTATATGCATAAGATCAGGATGGTTATGCAGACATTTGAAGAACATTATGTACCTTTATTTTGTATTCTGGAATCTCTTCTGAAAGTTACATTTGAAGAGATAAACATACAGCTCAATGATCACTCCAATCATACAAACCACAATTTGTAAAACTCATTAATACTAATCCGGCTAGGTAATTAGAATAATAGAGTTTAGGGGTTTGATACCTCAAGTTATTAATTACAAATCTCGTAAGAGATATCATAGTTGATTCGATGTGCGTGATTTACGAATACTTGAATATATTATCAATTCAAGTAACAATAGTCTCAAGTCTAAAGAATATGTAAGTGTGGCGGTTCTCGACTATCAAACGACAAAAAAAGAAGACACCTTCAGGACTATATGACTAGAATATCATCATCTGAATTTTTGTGATGAAACAATGAAAGTTGGGTGGAGAAATGCTTTGCTGCCTAAATTAAAACCTAAATCTTGTATTTTAAATGTATGTGCACCGCACATTGAATAAAAAAGTTAATTTTTTGAGACCCAAAATGATGTGTGTAGTAGTGCACATACATTTAGGATGAGTTGTGGGTTCCATCAAACATTGGTTAATTTAATTAGTTAATTTATTAATTTAATTTGTTGACTTAATTTACTATAACCTTTGGATTGATAATAAGTTTCATTAAACATTAGAATTTGATATTGATCCAATGATTTTACTGAAATCATATCATTATGTCAACAAATTAAATTAAATTTTTAAATTTAAATAACATTATTCGTAACATTTAGATTTTGATTTAAAGAGCAAACGAGAAGTCTCCCACGCAATATAATTGCAAAGCCTCGTTAAGCAAGCGAAAGTATTAGATTATCGATTTTTGATCATTCGATTTTTATATCTTTCTATCCTCTATATCACGACGATGCTCGAATTCCATATATGCATTATCAATTTTCGAACATTGGTTACAAGGAAAATATAATAATAAAAAAACACTGTACCAAAACACTTGACATGCCACGTGGAATCAATATGGTGACACGTGGAGTCAATAATGATATAAAGTAAAGGGTGGGTTGGGACGGTGGATAACTCATGGGACTTCGGAAGAGGTCAAAAGTGGAAAATATACCAGTAACGTATCTATCTAAACCAATTTTATAAAAGAAAAGATTGTGGAATACATAGGTGCCACGTTTTCCTATAAGTTCCGTGTTACGATGATGTGGCTTTTCATACAGCCCGCCCGACATCGATTCCTAGGTTTCAAGAAATATATTTTTAATAAATATTTTAATTTCGATATAAATGAATTATTTTTTATTAAATCAGAAAAAAAATTAATTAAAGTGTACATAAATTGACCCAGACACCACTGGCTGTTGAACAAATAAAAAATAAGGTTAATCTCAATTTGTACTTTGAAAGATAGTTCGAATTTTAATTTGTACCATCAAAGATAAAAAATCTCAATTTATACCCTAAAAGATAGAAATTTGTATCAATGTGCACCCCCAAAGATCAAAAATTTTAATTTATATCCTTAAAGATAGAAATTAGAATATTACTCATACATCTCATGACGTTTGTGCACATGTAACACGTAACTCTTTTTCGTTGATATTTGTTAATTTAACCGTTAAAAAAAAAAATTTATCCTAATAAAAAATTATAATTTCATATTATCCTTTATTTTGTGGGTCCGATATATTCTAAAGTTTAAAATTAAACTTACCATTTGAATGTCCAATAGAATGTAGATATTTATATAATATTTTTTATATCCAATACAATATATCACTCAATGTGCAACTTTTTATTCTATACACATTCAAATGGTAAGCTTGATTTTAAACTTTAGAGTATATTAGACCCATAAAATAAAGGTTAATATGAAATTATAATTTTTTATTAGGATAAAATTATATTTTTTAACGGTTATATTAACAGATATCAATGAAAAGAGGTTACGTGTTACACGTGCGCAAACGTCATAAGATGTAAGAATAATATTCTAAATGTGAAAGGGTCTAAATGATTAAGTGACAAGTATGAGGGGATCTAAATATAATTTATTAATTTAGTTTTATGTGCACATTGATACAAATTTTTATCTTTGAGAGTATAAATTGAGATTTTTGATCTTTGAGGGTGCACATTGATACAAATTCTTATATTTTAGGATGCAAATTGAGATTTTTGATTTTTGGGAGTACAAATTGAGATTCGAACTATCTTTCAGGGTACAAATTAAGATTAACCCTAAAAAATAACCTAAGTTTAAATAGATTTTGTGACTTGTCAACAGATTTTATATACTACTCCTATTTAAAGTTTTTTGTAACATGTTGGGGAGATAATTTCTTATGAGAGATCAGTTTGCTACCTTAATGAAAATACTTGAAAAACCAGGGGTAAAAACCCAAAGATAAAAAGCTAAAGACCATGGTATGTCTCTAATAATATTTCTCTTATTCTAGTAATTCCATGGATCAAAATGACTTAAGCCCCTATAGCATCCCGCTAGTGCTTTTTATTTTTTTATTTTTTTTTATTAATCAAAATTTTTTTATTAGCACTTGGATGTAATGTATGAAAGTGATCAATGGTGCTCTCAAAATCACGATATCTTTCCGTTCTAATTTCGCAAAGCTTGGGAACCATTATATTCTTGTGAAGGTGGTGGCCTAGACCCACTTTGGCCACATGTCTCCCTCCCATTGACCGAGTGCACCAACTCACCTTGTTGACAAGACTCAGTGGGTCCATGGAAAAATTTAATGTGTTGCAAGCTTTATTTTAAAAAGAAGAGGACAATATTGTTAAGTTATCGATTGAGTAGGGGGTAATCTGTAATTGCATGGTCTCAATTATTACCCACCCTGATACAGATCCAAAACAGACCAGTCTTTTTCCATTCTAAGCTACCCCTATAAATTCTCTCTTCCTTTGGACGTTCCACCAACCACTTCATGAAAATCTAAGCCCCCCTGCTCAAACCTCCTCGACAAGCCTTCTCTCTCCACCCCCTCGAAAAATGGGCATAGGAGATATCAAACCCCACTACCCTCAAAAAACAAATGGGATATCATTTTGGGCCTTTGTTTTGTCCATTGTCTTCTATATTTCCATTTTTTACATCTTCAATCTCTCTCCTTGCTCCCTCCTCAACACCACCAAATTCTGGTTTTTCATCTCCAACACTCTCATTCTCATCATTGCTGCTGATTTTGGTGCTTTTACTTTTTCAAGACAAAATGATCTCCATGAAGAATACATTCCACCTAGGAGTGTTTCCTCTTTTGAACTCCATTATCCCAAAATGGTTCACAAAAGCATCCCACAAGAAGGGTTTGAGAATCCACAAGAACAGATAAAAGACATCGTTGTAGTTCACAACAATAAACCTGAAAAGAGCATTACAGTGCAAGAGATTTCTGATGCCGCACAATCTAGGGACAGTCAGATGAACACAGTTTTATCTCCACACATGGAGAGATTATTTCAAGAAGGTGATTCACAAACTGTGGTCCAAAGTGACCCGAAAAAACCTAGTAATAGTTTCCAAGAAAAGAAACTAGAATTAGCTTCAAAATCCAAAAATGAAACTCATGACAAGATGAAAAGTGAATCGAGGCATGTTCGTAGCAAGTCTGACGAGGCAATCAAGTTTGCTGAGGAGGAGAAACAGATTGTTCTTCGTCGGACGCTGACCGAGAAGAGTGAAGCAAATGCAGAAGAAAACGAGTTCTCAACCATGTCGGATGAAGAATTGAATAGAAGAGTTGAGGAGTTCATTCAAAGGTTTAACATGCAAATTAGGCTTCAAGCAGTCCAAAACCGCCAAAGTTTGGAAGTCCAGTGAAGTTTTAAAACGAAGAAGAGGAACATAGGCACATAGCCCCACTTAACTTCGCTATCTCCTTGATTTTTGTTTCTGTTTGTATCTTGTCTTTGTTTTTTTGCTATTATTCAGTAACGAGTGTAAATGTTCTAGGTTCTTTCAAGGAGATCTTTACTTCAGTAGAGAAATTTTCTTAAACACCAAATATTCTAAAAGCTTAAACTTTTAAACAAAACAAGGGTTCAACATAATATCATAATCTAAAGGTACCAAGTTGGCAAAAAAACAAAAACAAAAATTAGCATAGACGGTCACCCAAGCAAGGTCACGCATGAGGAGAGAGATTAAATAAATACTTATGTTTCACTACTCTCTATCGATTTCAACTTTTAAAATAAGTGAAAGGTTAATATCCATGGACAAAGTTTTAAGTGAAAGTCATTATAGTGAAACAATCATTTTACACCTTTGAACTGACTAGGTTACAAAGAATTGGTATAGTGTAGGATTTGAAATTTACTTTGTACTGATGTCAACTCGAAATGGATGTAACAAAAATCAAAGGTTGTTCAAGTGATTAATTTCATATGTAACTAGTACTATTGGATTAGTGAACCAACAACGTAAATTTGGACTGAATAATTATCGTTCTGCTCTTAATTCAATGTATAACCAATATTATTCTTGTTCACTATTTCATTATCTGTTTTAATGAAAGTAGTCTAGATTACATAATAAAACCCTTTCTTTTATGGTATGGCAACCAAACAAGAGTGTTTAAACTTTCACTAATATGGGCTGGTCACCAACTACATATTTTTTGGAGAAGGACCCACTTATAAATAGCCAGTATTATTGGAATTAATGGTAAACTATTTATTATTGAAGAAAATTGTGAAAAAAATATATATCCACTATTTTATATAAGTGATCCCTTATTGATATATTAGCTATTATCTGTGTCTGAAGGCACAGAGTAATAAAAAATAGTAAACAATAAACATATTTGTATTTATATTCAAAATCAAATCACAAATATAGAGAAGAGATAAATGAATTTAAGCATCATTTTTTAGTGGAGATAAGAAGTAGTGGGCAACAATGGTGGTGATAGGAGACGGTGATGGTTATGGTGAGTGACAATAACTGTGGCGGCGGTGATGTTGGTGGCGGCGGCGATAGTGGTTGTGGTGGTGGTGATGGTGTTGGCGACAGTGGTAGTGATGGTGGTGGAGCAATTTCAAATATTATTTTTTTAAAAATTATTTATAAAATGTAATTTTTAGAAGTACTTTTAAAAAGTTACTTCAAATACACCCTTAGAACGTCTTATTTTTCTATAAAAGTTAAGGTGTTAATATTAGCTGTTAAATTAATTTTAAAGTAAAATTTAAAACGATGTCAGTCGAGAATAGCAAAAGTCATTTTATTTATCTTTTGAGATTTGAATTGTAAGCTATTTTATTATATAGATAAAAAGTAATTTGTCAAGAAGAAAAAAATATATATTAAAAAAAATCTAAGTGCTATAAATCCCACGTATTCCATGAGTCCCGCTGGTAGCATTCTAAAAAATTGATTTATAATTGTTACAAAATATACCATTGGATATCAAAACAAGAAATAACGCAATCAGACATGAGTCGGCTTATCAGAGATTTAGATCTCCTCTAATTTTTTTTCCTCCATTTTTTTAAAGAATCACCAATCATTAATAAGTGAGGACTCACTTGTATACATCAAGTCCCGCTTAAATATATAATAAATTATATACTAAGAAAAGAATCGAAGAAAAAATATATTGGATGTGATCTTACTCTGATTTATGATCGGGTAGTGCATTAAGTCAAGCACATGACCCAGAAATTAGGCTTTTAGAGGGTCACCATGGCGGCAGTACGTTATTGTCAGAGAAATTTTGTGCCAAATGGAAATTAATAAGCTATGTTCTAATATTAACAACAATGAATAAAATTCAGAGATTAAGTTTAGTAACTCTTGGTAAGATATGACTCCGTTTTTTGTGATTATAAAGCAAATTGAAATTGGATTAATTAAGTAATAAGAAATGAAATAAAAGAACTATATATATATAGCCCCACCAACAGAGTAGTCAAGCTAGAAAAAAAAAAGAGTAAGAAGCTACATTCGTTCGATTGACAGAATTAATTATATTTTTACTGCGGTGGATTGACTTTTATGAAACACCTTTGGACAATAACTAATATTCAATTCCGAGATCAATTTAACAATAAAACTCTTTAAATAATAATGTTTAAATCTTTAAACACCTTTGGGCATTTTTATTTTTATTCAAAGTGATCCTTTCTCATTCCAAGGTCAAATATACATTGAAAGCTTCTATCGTAGAATTCATTCGGAATGAAAAATTAGATAAATGTATAATTTATTATTGAAAATTTTATCTTAATGATGTTTGAATCCAAACTATTGATGAATTGTATAAATGGATGAATATTTATCATTGTTACTCATCCGAACTATACTGCATCTATCTATCTATGTAAAGAAACATTTTCTTGAGTGAGAGGGTTTGAGAAACCTTCCCTCTCACTTTTCTAATTTTTAAAAATTTTAAACTATTGAATTCTCCGCTCTTCAATTATATTCCACCAAATATCTTCAATAACTACTCTAAATAATTACCCATTAACTTTCTTTAACAACCGCTTATTTAATTACTTTTACAAAATTAAGTTTTGTAATCTAATAATTCCTACAATTCTTTTTAATTTTATCAAATGATGGGTGAGCGAGAATAAAAGCCGAAGAAAGAGATTGAGAGAATAAGAGGATAACCCATGAATGGCACAAGGTCGGGCATAAAACAAATATTTTTTGGGTGGGAGGACTTTAGAAGTCTTCCCTTCTCAAATGTTTAATTTCTAGATTTTTGAAATATTTAATTAACTTCTTCCAATCAAATTATTCTATTTGACTTATTTAACTACACTCTCCATCTTTTGTAACTATTCCCCCTATCTTTTTAAACCATTTCCAATTTAGATTTTCACTAATCTTTCATTACTTTTTAACATTTAACAAATATTATTTTAATTTACTAATGGGTAAATTTTCATTCTCTTCTCTGTTTTCAATCTAGTATTTATTTTCTAAGAATTGTCTATAAGTGAAAGCATATAAGAGTTAGCAGAACGTAGTTCAAGCGCAAACAAAACAACTTCTCCTTTGGGGAGTGTTCAGGGCACAGTACACTAGATGACTTCCTGATTTTAGTCTCATGTGTTGTCTACCGAATCTAATAGTAGGAGTAGTGACATGTACTTATGAAGATTAAAAAAGAATAATATAGGGTGACCCATAGTATAATAATATAAACACTCATCGAGACGCCTCATTACTAGTTCAAAACTATTTCTAAACCCCCTTTTAGAATTTTTTTTATACAAAAAAATATTTTCCCTGTACAATATCTCTACTTTTTAACCAAAAAGAGTGTGTTGTGTCTATATTTTTTATGATTTTATAATTTTTAATTAATTATAGTTATTATAAATTATTCAATTTAAAATCAATACTGGAATAAATAAAGATCCATCCGGTGCGACTTCATTACCAAAGCCTTACCCCTACCCGAAACTAACTCATTCCCTGCGAAGGAATTGGGTAGACTCTATACCATATGAGTTAGGGGATATTTGATTTCTTGATGGTAATGACCAGTTTATTAGTTAATGAAAATTTCAAAACAGTTCGACAAAAAAAAAAGATACCATCGTAAGGAGAGGGTTAGCGGCTATGTTGAGACCAGATTAAACTTTTCAATTTCACGGGAATCTTACTAAATAAAAAAAAAAAGTAAAGACTAGAACTGCACTAGCCAGCTAACCTCGACTAATGGCTATAAGAAGGGACACATCAACCACGAGCTTTTCAAAACGGAGATCCACCTTAGTGGACAATTCTGTTACATCAGCACAAAACAAAGTTGTTTTGAATCAAACATTTTCGGGGAAAGTTGCACTTAAAATGACAAGTGTGCGTGCTAGATCTTGCACAATATAAAAACGAGAACAGATCTCTCCCTTGGTGAACTCGAGTGAGTCAGTTGAGTGGTCAACCACGTTGCTTGGAACAGTCTGTGAGATCCGGTAGTAACCTGGAACGGTAATGGGAGACCCTCACAGATCAAAGGAACGATCCAGTAAGACTGAAGAAAGGTTCCTGGAACAAAGAAGAACAAGTTAGAAGGGCGTCGGAGTGTTTTTCGACGTATCCCCTCCGACAATCAAGTCAGTTTTTGAGAGAGAGGAAGAAGAAAACACTGAGTATAATTTGTAACAAAAGTTTCACCTCTTATTCTTGCCTTTAGTGAGGAGTATTTATACCTCAAATACTCATGATTTGTTGTCAGTGTGGTCAGTAGGTGATCATTAGATACAGGCAACGTGCGCACTGATTCCTATGAGGAATGTCTTCTCTCTTAACTGCTCGGGACCCCGAACAATCAAGTCTGTGTCATCGGCCTGCCGACGGTTCAATGAGCTCCTCTCGGGGAGGATGCAATAAATGTCCAGTCTTAGAGACATTTAATGTCTTTCACTTCTGAGCCTTACCGTATTGAATGCAGTCTCATCAAGGGAATGGTGTAATTAAATGCCTGTTCTCCCAAGTTGCGTGTCAGCAAGGTCATGCGGTCTTTCTGTCTCTGATGTGACACAGTAAGCCACGTGTCCATTCCTCATTGGCTGTGGCCCCTGCCTTCCTGTGCCTTCTGACACCAATTGTGTAAGACGAGGTCATGATAGACAACCTAGCCTATCCTAGGCTAGTGACCAGTGCATCAGTAACCTCTGCTGGAGCAGAGAACTTCATCATAGATGAGAGGGGGGTACATCTCGGAATTGAGGAAGAGGTACATCTCGGAACCGAGGAAGAGGTACATCTTGAATCCGAGAGGGGGGAGGCCTAGCGACCGATGTACCATATCAGATCGAGGGTACGTGTCGGTACATAAAACGTACTGGATGTCACTCGATCCATGATAAGTACCTCGGGGGTAGAGGGACTTATGACCCGATGGGTACGTGATCTCGATAAATAAGGATCAGTGACACCGAGGACACGTGTCTTCATCTTGGAGTATTCCAGAAATGTCCCATCAACTGCCCCCCAGCCTTCAATCTTCTGACACCGAGCACACGCATTGTAAGGAGACGAAGGGTTTTACAACAACCCCAACTGCTTCATCATTGTCCCTAGCCGTTTTCCCTGCTTAGGATGTCGTGCGCATTAAATGCGTCGTTTCGTGCTTCGCGCCCAATGATGGGATAAGTGCT